ACTGAGAGATGACATCCCAATCCTTTATTTTACAGATGTGGAAACTGAGTCTGAGAAGAGAGGTTGGGACTTGCCTAAGATCATTGATTTATGCTAGCACAAACTCAAACTCCAGTGGCAGTCTTCAGACCTGAGGGGGGTGCTTATAGGAACACCCCTCCCCTAAGGGGGCAGGACCAGAAGAAATGGCCTTGAATTGCGAACAAAAGGATCCAGGTGAGATATAAGGAAAAATTCCAGCTGTAAGAATGGGTAGCATAAGAAGACTGGAACCGCCTTCTCTGGGATGGGATGAGATCCCCTCTAGGGGGTTGCCTGAAATGATCTCAGCACTGCATCTCCCAGGGGCACCGCTCTCACACCAGTCCTTTTCTTTGGGAGTCCAAGGGATTCAGGATCCCTCTCCCAGAGACCGGCGCCATGGCTGGTGGCTGGGGGGAACTTGAGAGGCCAGTCCTGGAACAGGTGCAACAGCTGGAACAACTGCGCAGCTGTTACCCAGCTCCTGCTCAGCAGCCAGCTAGCCAGTGAGTGAGACAGAGACCTCTACTGGTGGGAGTGAGGAAGTGCAGAACCACCTAGACAGACCCAGAGAGGGGCCTGCCTGGAGCCAGATGTCAAGCCTTCACTCAGGTGTCCCCCTCCCCCGTGTAAATCTGGACAGGTAGATGGGGATGCAACTAAGCTGAAAAGCAGGGCAGGGTCTCTGCCGGTGGGTCCCCCTACACACGCACTGTTCTAGGCCTCCTAAGTACTGGAGGGGCCACTCCTGGTGTCTGAGGATCTATTGACTCCTCCCTAGCAGGACAGGAGTACAAGGCTGCAGACCTAAACACCCTGACTTCCTTTCCCGAAGCCCAGAACAGACTCAGAATCAAAGCAACAGCATCTTTGGATCTTAGAGTCTTAGAATCACGGGATATTAAAGCCAGAAGTGTCCTCAGTGATTGTCTCTTGGGGTCAACCATCTCTCTTTACCGCTGGGAAAACTGAGGGGGGGAGAGAAAGGCAACTTGTCTGGTGTCTGCGTGGCTGGAATTAGTAGCAGAGCCAGACTGAGGCCCTGACCTTCTGATTCCAAGTTTGTCCTCTGTACTACTTCATACGATGGGAGCTCCCTTCCTGCCCTATCTCTGCTTCTGCAGTCTGGGATTCTGTCACTTGGGAACAGAAGCCTCAATTCCCACAGTTCACATCACCTTTGGAGAGAGGCTAGAGCAATTGACGGTTTTATCTGATAACTGACTGTCTCTTGAAAGCAGGACTGGACAGCAGGAGGGAAGAGAAAGCAGAAGCGAGCCGGATACCTTACGGGCAGGAGGGGGGTGGCAATAGTAAGGGAGGAGCACAAGGAAGAGGCACTGACATAGGGGGAAGAGTACCGGAGAGGGAGTCAAGATACTAGGCCGGTTCTCATTCCACAGAGAAATGGATACCCAAACTGACTAACATCATACATGTATGTGTCTTCACCTGGGGCTGGGGTCAGTACCAGTCAGTGACCAGGTCACAGACCTGGAATCGGGGTTAAGTCCGTGGTCAGGGCTTTGAGGATCAGGGCTCAGCCTGTGGCCAGAGTTGAGACTCAGTCCGGGTTGAATTCAATCTGTGGCTGGAAACGGAGCCAAGGACAGAATAACCTTTGTTTGAATAGCCTTTTTGCACTGTAACTGAGGAGCAAACTGCCATGTGTGTTCACAGGCCTTTGGTATTTCGCAGGGCTGAGCCACCTCAGGAGTCTGACATGACACAGACTTGAGAATTCCCATCAGTTGGTATCACTTCTGAAAGCACCTAAGGTGTCACCAGGAGATTTCTTATGTACAACGGGCCTTAGATCTTACTTGAACTAAGACAAGGACCATCACAAGACACCTCCAAATAGGACTCTGGCAAATGACTATAGAATAGGATTGTTCCAGGGCGCCTGGGTGGCTCAGTCGGTTGAGCCTCCGACTTCAGCTCAGGTCACGATCTCACGGTCCGTGAGTTCGAGCCCCGCGTCAGGCTCTGGGCTGGTGGCTCAGAGCCTGGAGTCTGCTTCCGATTCTGTGTCTCCCTCTCTCTCTCTGCCCCTCCCCCGTTCATGTTCTGTCTCTCTCTGTCTCAAAAATAAATAAACGTTAAAAAAAAAAATAGGATTGTTCCTAGATTCATAGATTGTCAGCACTAGACAAAGTGAGGCTCCGAGCAGGGAAGTGATCTGTTCAAATTCACACAACCCATAAGCAACAAATCTATTCTTTAATAAATTTGCTGTGTGAACTTGGGCAAGTCACTCCCACTTTCTGGGCTTCAGTTTAACTATAGGAAAATTGGGGGGGGGGGGGTGGAAGCAGACGATTTTCTAAATTTTTTTTAATGTTTATTTATTTTGAGAGAGAGACAGAGCATGAGCAGGAGAGGGGCAGAGAGAGAGGGAGACACAGAATCCGAAGCAGGCTCCAGGCTCCGAGCTGTCAGCACAGAGTCCAACATGAGGCTCAAACTCACAAAATGTGAGACCATGACCTGAGCTGAAGTCGGGTGCTCAACCAACTGAGCCGCCCAGGTGCCCCAGAAGCAGGTGATATTCAAAGGCTCTTTCAGGTCTGACATCCCAGAATCTGAACATACCCCTCTGAATGCCAGTCCACCTCACTTTAACTCAAGTCTGCTCTGAGTTGTTTTCTTGTGTGTCTGTCGCTAAGACACTGCCTGAAGGCCAGTGGAGGCACAGAGGAAGGAGAGCAGAGTGGATCAGGTGGCCAGGGAAAGTTTGCTGGAAGAAGTTTGACCTGGCAAGGTGGTGAAGGCCTGACAAGATATGGGAGGCCAAGAGCAGGGGTGTGGGTAGGACAAGAGCAATCCTGCACAACGATCTGATTCTAGGACATCTTTCCAAGATGCATCAGGGGCAACGGTACCCGGAGAAACACCTTGGGAGCTAAGAACGATGTGCCAAGAGGAAGGGAGGCAGGAATTAAGGGCATTCTGTACTAAGTCCCTTTTAAGAAACAACAGGTAGGGGCGCCTGGGTGGCGCAGTTGGTTAAGGGTCTGACTTCAGCCAGGTCACGATCTCACGGTCCGTGAGTTCGAGCCCCGCGTCAGGCTCTGGGCTAATGGCTCAGAGCCTGGAGCCTGTTTCCGATTCTGTGTCTCCCTCTCTCTCTGCCCCTCCCCCATTCATGCTCTGTCTCTCTCTGTCCCCAAAATAAATAAATGTTGAAAAAAAAAAAAAAAAAAAGAAACAACAGGTAAGTGTTAGGAGGAAACCTCCAGGGCCCAAGGAAGGGGAGGAGGAATTTACTGAGTACTAGGCATTGTGCTGGCTGACTGAACACAGTCACTTCCCTTAATCCTCCCAAGAACTGTTTGGGTTCCAGGTAAGTATGTGTCTTAGGTGATGAAATCGAGGCTCAGAGAAGTTGTGACTTATGAGAAGTCACACAGCCGCTAAGGGGCAGAGGCAGGACTTGAACCCAACAGAGTTCCTTCCATTACTTGTTACTAAGGACTTCTATGAGTCTCATGCTAAGGGCAGCCCAGAGACGACCAGACTTGCAGCCTGCCCTCACAAGCAGAGACAAGAGTGAAACAAAATCCAGCACTGCCAGCTCAGGAAAGTCATGTGCCAAAGAAAGGCAGCAATGGGGGAGTGGAGCTGTGGGGAGGGCAGAGCGCTAGGCGGGGAGTTGGGAACCTGGGGTCTTCATCCCAGGCTCTGCGCTGTGTAACCTGGAGCAAACCACTGCCCCTCCTTGTCCTCAGTTTCTTTATCAGGTATTTCAGGGTTTGAACTAAACTCCTTCCTTCTCATCAAGAGAATCTTGGTTTTGTTTTCCATCCTCACAGTATTCTAAGAGACTGGGGATGGAGAGGAGGTCCAGGAGCCTCTGGCAGAGGCAGTGAGGGAACTGAGCTGCAGAGAGATTATATAAACTGTTTGAGGTTACACTAAGTGGAGAAGCATGAATTCGGGAACTGATTTTTTTTTTAAGACGCTACCATGTACCAGCTAGTTGCTTTATTATATTTTCTCTGATTTAATTCTCACAACAGTCCTGGGATTTTTGACTCCCATTTTATAGATTGGGAAACTGAGGCTTAGAGAGGTGCCCTCCATCAGCTGGTATTCAGAAGATCTGGGATAGTGAAGACTGGTCTATCTCCCTGTGCCCTGCTGCCTCCCAGGGTCTTACAGCTCCAAATCAGGGTTCTTCCAGATGCTTTGCTGTGCAGCAGGGGGAAAAGCATAGGATTTGGAATTGGAGAGCTCTGGCGTTGGATGGCTTACTAGCTCTGTAAACTTCAGCAAGTTTCTTCTGTTACCCTAAGTTTTCTCATCTGTAAAATGCAAATGATAGTACCCACCTCTTGGGAGTCACGTGAGGATCACAACGGATAGCAGAATGAGGTTACCTAGCGAGCTCTTCTTTCTTTGCACCGGCTCCCTTTGAATACAATAGTCTTTACATCTCCATCACCTTCTTCACACCCTTGCAGCCAAACATACCCTGCTCTCTGCTGAGAATATGAAGCACCACCACCAGCCTACACACATGCGCACAGTGTCCTGCCTTCTCTCCCACTGCCCTCAGTCCCCCTCTCTTCAGGTCCCTGGCAGCAGCCCCCCTGGCCCTGAGTTTTGCCAAGTTCCCCCCAGTATCCCAGACTCATCAGCCCATACTGGTCGGCAGAGGAGTCTCCACTCTCCCCGCACAGGTGCTGCCTGGAAGGCTGCCAGAACAGTGTGGG